CTGTTTGTTTGTTAAACCTAGCAATATTTGCAAATAGACATTATCTCCTAAACAAGGTAACCGACAAAAATATAGAATGCGGATATTACTTAGCAGATTACTTCAATGAATGGATATTATAAAGATTGTTCTTCTCCTTGCTAAAATGTACTTTAGCATTACCATTTCCAAACTGCTTCACAAGAAAGGAATTGCTATTTCTAACGATTTCTCAACTACGAGGATCAGAAACAATACCCCTTGTTTCTGCAAGGTTGGGAGACCAAAATAATTAATTAAACTATAAAAACATTAAATAATATGATACAAATAAAATCACATGCAAAATGAATATAAATATGAACATGCTAAAAAGACACTTCTAAATAAATGCAAACAACATGACAAAATACTTTCAAAGAATGAATCCAAATCCAGAAGAAAGAAAATATCGCAAAAGATAATCCTTGTATTAATTCTGCAAAACTATCCAGATCTGATTAAGACCAAAATATGCTGAAACAATCAGAGATCAAATAAAAACAAAACAAAAAAACTCAAGCCCTATTCTGAGCCAGATCAAAAAGAAAAAGAACGCATGATGTTTTTGTTTTTTTTTTTTTTTTTTCAAAAAGTTAGTTACAGAAAAAATTTTGTAACAATTTTCTCCAAAAACAACTTATGAAACCATTTTACAGTAATTCTATGAATTCAATACCTATCGATCTAAAGCAATGCAGAAAAAGAGAACTCATCCATGAGAATGCCAGCGATTTCCTCGAAGAAAAACGAGACGAAGTGGTTTTTTTTTTTCGTGTGTCACGCCCCCAAGCTTTCGCAAGATAAACGAGTTCAGATAACGTGCAATTTATATCATCTCTAAACCCTAGTTACCACCGAAATGACTCAAATGCCACAACGCTTATTGCCTTGGTCATAATTTAACTTTGGGAAATTTACATAGTGGCCACCAAACTAATTATAATTTGCTTAACCTCAAAATTTATTTAACGCATCACCCTAATTCTATTTGAGCCAAAAAATTATCACTCTATAACCTCTCTGTGACCGTTTCGCTGCATTAGTCCATCCCCGCACAATCCCAGGTCCTTTCTTGTTTTATCCCTTGACGCAATTACTCAACACGAAGGAGGTAAGATCTGCACGCAAAGGCTCGTCTGAACTTTTTCATAATCCCTACGCCAACCAAGAATAAGCAAGGGCAAATGAGAGTTGAATGTTGTGGTGAAGATAAATGAAAAACTTAAGACTTGTGGTGAATATGAATGGAGAAGAGCATTTTCAGATGTACCAGGATATCATACCTGGATGAAGCTAGTATAATTTTCAAAATGTGGTTTTAAATAGGGAGGATTTAAATGTATGCCCCAAAAGTGAAGATAAATGAAAAACTTAGACTTGTGGTGAATATGAATGGAGAAGAGCATTTCCAGATGTACCAGGATATCATACCTGGATGAAGCTAATATAATTTTCAAAATGTAGTTTTAAATAGGGAGGATTTAAATGTATGCCCCAAATTTTTATGTAATTTTACATACATAACTTATTACATAAGGTTCTTATACATTAGGGCTTCATGACGGTAATTTAATGTGCCTAGAAATGACTTTTATATTTTCTTCATTTCTAGAAATGCCTAGAAATGACTTTTATTGACCCAGGAGTTATTGGAAGAGCAAGGGAAATTACTGAAAGACAATGATGAAAAAACTAAGCTCATGGAAGGTCTATTTTGCTACAACAATTTCTACACCCAAGTTCAGTGTTGAATCTAAACGTTCTTAATTTTTATTGGAAATTTAGTAGAAACTCATGCATACATGTGTGTGTGTGTGTGCACGCCAAATTTGTGACAAAATATTGTGGGTCGTGCATGTCGCCTCATAAGAAAATTATGAGCACTCAGATTAAAGCTTTAGAAAAAAACTGTGAGCACAGAAATTGAAACCTTAAAAGAAACTATGAGCAAATGAATTAAGGCCTTAGAAGTAAATTGTGAGCTCACAGATTGAAGGTTTTAGCCAATTTATCAACCTTATAATAGTCCATAGAATGTAATCTGTGTGTTATTATTTTTTTGACTCCTTTTAATTATTTCCTTTAAAGGTCTTCCTAAAGGCTATAAATATCTTTATTTGTTTTATACAAGGCACTTATTTTTCCCTGCTTTGCTTTATATTAGTCAAAGCTCTCCACTTGTAATTTCTCTCTTCATTTGTAATTTCAAATTTGATATAGAAAATTCTCCTTATCTGCTCATGATTTTTCTCATCTTCGGATTTTTCATGAAAAAATTATGTATTCCTTTTTTTTAGTGGCATTGATTTAATATCAAGCCATAAAATTATTTTTTTATGAAATTTGGAAGAAGTCAGTGGTTCTACCACCATTTGTGGCATTTGTAGTTGGTCTCATTCAAGCATATGGGAATATATGAAAATGGGTGTAACTTTTAATAATAGTTCAGAAAAATGGGTATTTGGTTAACGTATACAACCCTCCTATAACAAAAATTTCAAGATTGTAGCTGAAAGTATTTCATCCAATCATACAATTAATTTTTTGACTTCTATTCCATTAGAACAATCAAGAGATATATCATCCATGGACAAGTATGTGTCAATGGTAAAACTTTTTCAGTTTTTTATGCATGAAACTACGTTTAAGAAGTTCTATGGAAAACTCATAATTAGGGCTGTCAAAACGGGCGTTGTTCACGAATAACTCGTGTTTGGCTCGTTAAGAAGCTCGTGTTCGATAAGTTAACGAGCCGAATATGAACTAAGTTGTGTTAGTTCGTGTTCGGCTCGTTTTGGCTCGAAAAACTTCTTATCAAATATCATCAAGTTTATATATATAGTAGTACTTTAAAAAAATCTAATTAACTACAAGGCTATAAAGATTTATAATCAATTAAATATTGATTAAGAAAATAGAATAAAAATTAATAAATTAGATTCAAATAATAATTTTTAAATCTTGCTCAAACCCTTATTGTCTTATGACTACATGATTAGGGTTGTTAAAAAGACTATTTGTTCGTGAACAGCTCGTGTTTGGCTCATTAAGCAAACATGTCAAACACGAACACACTTTTTGAGCTCGAAATATAAACGAGCCGAACATTACACCCCTATTCATAATAAAACTAGTTAGTATTTTGAAGCTAAAAAAAAACTAAATTCATGCAAGCCAAATTCAACATATCTAAAAAGTATATTTCGCTAAAATTCTCTTTTATCAACAAGCATCACTACTATTTTTTAGCAAGCATACAATGTTTGGGAAAACTGCTGAGAAAGAGACTCATTTTAATTTTGCCATGGAATAGGATCACAGGATTTGAGAAACCCGGAACAAAAATTGAAATGTAGAAGCACAATCAAAGCAACCAAAATGAACACAAGTATAGAATGGGAAAAAAATCACAGAGTCACATCATCAGAATTTCCACTATGAAATTTAGAAAGTTTTACAATGGGCTCACACAAGTTTCTTCTCCCCACTCATATGAAGAAACCCACCGAAGTTCCACAAACAATCTTTCCTCTCCGATCCGATGCAAAAAATCATGTTGAATCATCAAATCTACATCTTCGAAACTCTTCACCTTCACATTCACATTCACCAGATGCTCGCTGAATAATACCAAAAAAACATAATAGCAAGCTCATCGATCCAAGCTCAAATTTTGGCTTAAAAGTCAATTTTTTGTGTAGTAATCATACTGGGAGCTTAGGCGCCCAATCTTGGCTCCTAAGTGCCAAGCGTTCTGTACCAACGCCCCATAATGGGTGCCTAAGAGTAGCGTTAGCTCTATAGCGAGCGCATATGAGCCCAAAGTCGGCGCCTAGGCACCTCCTACTCTGTTAAAGCAGCAGTCAAGTGGGCACTTAAGCGCCCACCACACAGTGAATTTGCGCTGGGTGCGTTATGCTTAGACTCCACAGCCCAACAATCTTCCACTTAGAGACTATAGCACCCAACAACAGTCTTGTACCAGTACCTTAATCTAAATCACCTTCATAGTTATGTACTGTGGTCACGTATCATTGTGTGGCTCACCACCAATCTCAACCTTCTTGAAACCCAAATGAAGTCAAGCACGGCTTCAGTTTATGAATAATAACTCACTTCATCAACATATTCATAGGATTCTCAGCTATGTGTATCTTTTACAGAAATAACTCCTCATCTTCTAGAAGAGATAAATTAAAAGGATACCTGAGTTGGATGTTCTTTTTCCTAGCATGAAAAACAACGTTATTAGCAAGATGAATCGTTGTCATACAATCACTGTAAAGTTTTCCAATTCCCTGCACCTTGCCTAATTTTTTCATGAAGTTCTATAGCCAAAACATCTCCTCGTTAGCATCAACGATATCAATATATTTGTCCTCTATAGTTAAAAGTGCAACAATCTTCTACAACCTGGAAACCTAACTCACTGTTGTGTTCCCCAATGTGAAGATATATCCTATTGTACTTATCTTACTCCTATCAAATATGAAATCCTATAACTAATCCCTACACTTTTATAGTAAATTTTTATGTTGATTTTTCCCCTCAAATACGTGAGAGTCTACTTTAGCAGCTCTTAATGATGCTTGTCTGGATTGCCCATGTACTTGTGATTGACCAAAGTAAAATATGTTGAGATTTTCGTACTTCTCTTATACTGTTTTTAATGATATTGCACTTTAAAGAAATGTATTTTTGATGTTTTATTGCAAGAATGATCAATTAAAGTCAATGGAGCAAAAAGAAGCAAAAAAAGCAAAATTTGGAGCAAAAAGGACCAAAATGTGGAGAA